TCAAATTTTTTGGTTGACCGTGGTTATGCAAGTTGAAAGAGTCATTAGCCCAACTTATGGAGTTTATTTTCGTAACTATCATCAAGTAAATCATATAAAATATACACATATATTACCTGTAAATACCCATAGATTCGCAAAGCTAAGAGAAAATAAAATTGAAGGCAAAAACATATGATGGTAATGTATAAGAGAAAAAGGGAAAACAAAAAACCAAAATCAAGAATGAATCAAAATATAAATTGCAATAGCAATAAATAATATATATATATATATATATATATATATATATATATATATATATATATATATTGTTCTCAATCATCGTTGTTAAAATCTAACAAATCTGATTCATGATAAAACTTAAAATAATACTGTATTTAGGAGTTATTTGTTCAATGGAAAAAATATGGAGTACCTAGCTTTGAAATCTTGAGGATGAGAAAAAAGAGAAGAGGAAGCTGCTGCTATGTGAAATTGTGAACCAGATGAAAGAGACAATCTGTGATGCGATTAGGCTTCTTTACATATAGAGGGATACAGGTGGAATATTTTATTTTTTGTTCACAAATATGGAGGGCACACTTGCTATTTTGAAAGTTTCATTAAACCCTTTAACAGCTTCCCGTGTCTTTAAAAAAAGAGCGTTTAAGAAAAGCTGGGGGTACCCAGCTTCTCCAAAATGCTCTTCTAAGACATAAAAGCTCTTTTAAAAAATTAGCCAAACACTACTCAAAACAGCTTCCAACCCCAAAAAGCTAAAAGCAGCGTTTCAAAAGCCAATCCAAACGGGCCGTACATAAAAATTCATCTATTTCAAGAGATTTAAAAAATAAAATTAGAGGGGATTGAAGCCAAGCGTCTGACGTTTATTTCATAAGTAAGATCCTCATACAAGTGAAACAAGTATAAGAATTAGATTCTAATACTTCTCCTAAGCAAAAGATGTGTAGTACAATGAAAAAACTTAACGCTTTGTTTGGAATCGATTATTTTAGGATTTGGAAAAGGAATCGGAATTAGAAAAGGAATTGGAATTAAAATGAAATTCCATTTCTATGTTTGGAACCAGTTGAATTTAAAGTTTGATTTAAAAGGGAATTTGAAATAAAAATAATATTATACCATTTTTACCCTTGTTTAAATGATAAATAAATTATTTATTTTATTGTCGACAAACAAAGAGAATGACCATGATATAACTGAAATATAAAATTTACTTATTTAACAGATCACGTAAAAAAAGAGCAATTATTTTTTAATTAAAAAACTAACTTATTAAACATCACCAACATACTTTAAAAAAATCACTAAAAAATAAAATAACATTGAACAGTTATATGAGAAAGTAGTATGGAGATACTTAAATAGCGTTGGAGATAGAGATATGGTAATATATATTAAATAGGATAGGGTTAGATGAGAAAAAGATAGTTGGAGATTAATTAGTAGATATTGTACAAGGTTAATTAAGATAATATGGTATTTATCTTTCAAATCCCGTCAAATCCTATCGTTTTAGTCAGGATTTGAAACATATCAAAAACAGTATTTGAAATCCCATAACTTTAAAATCCCGTTCACAATCCGATTATTCCAAACACTGTAAATCCTATTTCTAAATCCAAATCCCATCAAATCCAGCATTCCAAACACAGCGTAAGTAAATTTGCTAAAGTATGAAACATATGAAATTTTGATGTTATGGTCGTGGAACTTTTGCACAAGGCCCCCATGGTGTTATTTATAGATGTCTGGAGCAGCAGTTACTTTCAGCAGTTTCCTTTTCAAATTCAAATATTATATTTGAATTCAAAACTCCTTTTGTCTTAAGCCTATCCAAATGCACGTGTTTCCCATCAATGCCTTGTGTGGAATAGAATTCCTTGATGCTGTGGCACTGTATAATATAATTAAATCAAGGAGTTATATTTAATGCTACCTCTGTCCCAAAAAAGATGTCACGTTTGAGGGAGTATATATCACTATATATATCAACTTGAATTATGATTTTAAATAATAGCTCCAAACATGTTATAATATCCCTTGTCAATCAGCACCACGTGGCTGAATTAGTTAGGTGATTTACACATGTGGAAATAATTCTCCTCTGGCATGCTACATTGTTCCTAGTCAATCAGCAGCACCAGGTGGTTGAATCAAAACCTTCATCAAAACCAATCAGCACCATGAGACTGAACTAAAACTCTTCTAAATTAATCAACACCAAATGGCCGAATCAAGAAGTCGCATGCTAATTAAGACTCCTTATAAATAGAAGTCTTAAAACAATACATCATATTGTAATCCTAACTGATCAACACCCCATGGCTGAATAAAAATATTTTTAAGCAATTGGTCAGCACCAGTGATCGAAAAATATTTTTAAGGTGCAAACAAAAGTATTAAGAACTAATGTTTTAAACTCGATTTTGACATTATGGTTATCATCAAGGCCAACTCCAAGTAACATTTTTCAAGTAAAATCTAATTTTAGATAATAAAGTAAAATCTAATTTTTGAAATTCAAATTTTACAAAATTATCACCCAAACATTATTAGTATTATTATTTACCTTTTCACTTCTCTAAAAATAAAAAATTATCCGTGAAGAAGTGAATCAAATATGACAACTAAAGATCATTACTCCTACCAAGAACATGTTAAAATATGCCAACTAATTATTTTTTTGATAAATAAAAAAATGGGTAGATTGCATTGACACCCCTTGAAGTTTCGGTCAATATCATTCCGATGCGAGTCAACGGCTTTTTTAACAATGACACCCCATATGATTTAAAATGTTATATTTTCCCATGATTATTTAATTCAATTAATTTACAAAATATTAGCCTTGTTAATTGATGAAACTACCCTCTCATCATTGAGCCTCTTTCTCTATTATAATCTCTAAATTTTTTTTTTTTTTTGGTTCATTTTAGTACCTAGCCGCCGACTCTCCCTTTCTTTCTTCCCGATCTCTTGTGGTGATTATGGTGGTGTCTAGGTTATCAGGGTGTTTCAAAATTTTTATTTTTATTTTTTATCTTGTGGTGGTGGTGGTGGTAGTGGTTCTAGTAGCGTCTGTGTGTGTTGGTGGTGGTGTCGTTGATGTGCTGGTGGTGGTGGCGTTTAGGACGTATAAGTATGAGTTAGCCACGACTCTTCTCTTCTCTTATATTTTTTTTTTTTTGGTGTTTGGGTATGCTGGTGGTGGTTGTTATGGTGGTGTTTGGGTATGGTGGTGTATTGACTATATAAAAAATAAAAATATATATTTTCTTTTTAATTTTTATGTTATGGTGGTGGTTATGGTAGTATAAGTATTGTTATATATAAACTATATTCATATGTACCAACGACCTAAGTACCAAGCCACTACTTTTTATAGGGAGGTCAGGGGTTCAAGCCTCAGTGGAGACATAGATGTGCGAGTACCAACTAAGTTAAAAAAAAAAAAAAAAAAAAAAAAAAAAAAAACAACAACAACAACAACTATACTATATCCATATATATATAAGAGATAAAGAAGTTAGTTTGGTCTGTTAAATTTAGTTAGGAGGTTGAATTTATAATTTTATGATTTAAATGGAATTGTTGACAAGTCAAATGGTTAAAAGGTATTTTCATTTGATTTCAAAGGTATGAGGACCCGTCAATGCATACAATGTAAAAAAAATGTTATATTTGTCAATGTCATTCCAATGCGAGCCAACGACTTTTTTAACAATGACACCTCCTATGATTTCAATTGTTATATTTGCCCATGATTATTTAATTTAATTAATTTACAAAATATCAACCTTGCTAATTGACAAAACTACCTCTGATCATTAAGTCTCTTTATTTATCCTAATCTCTAACTTTTTTTTTTTTGGGGGGGGGGGGGGGGGGGGGGGGGGGGGGGCGGTTAGCCGCCGACTCTCGCTCTCTCTCTTCCCGATCTCTTGTGGTGGTTATGGTGGTGTTTAGATTATCAGGGTGTTTCAAAATTTTTATTTTTATTTTTTCTATTGTGGTGGTGGTGATGGTTCTGGTAGCGTCTGTATGTGTTGATGGTGTTGTCTTTGGTGTGGTGGTGGCGGCATTTGGGACGTATAAGTATGAGTTGGCCACAACTGCTTTCAATTTTTTTTTTTTCCTTCTATGGTGTTTGGGTGTGGTGGTGGTGGTGGTGGTGGTGGTTGTTATGGTGGTGTTTGGGTATGGTGCTGTACTACTATTTTTTTTTTTTTTTTTAAATGGATCCACATTTAGCCGATGCTGCACAATGGAGGGGTTGATGCCAGGCATGTCATCATGTGCCCATGCAAACACATCTTTGTTATCTCTGAGAAGTTGAACGAGTGAATCTCGGATGAGTGGGTTGAGTAATGACCCTATACTCACCTTTCTTCCAACTCTTTCCTCATCCAAGTCGATCTCTACGAGGTCCTCTACTGGTTCCGCCCTTTGATTGAGTTCCTTCTCAGTTAACCCTCCTGGTTTCTCAATGGCCAATGCTTCCTGCAACTTTTTTGTTCTTAAAGCGGCGGCATAACACTCCCTTGCTGTGGCTTGGTCACCTCTTAACTCACCAATGCCTTGCTCTGTAGGGAACCGCATTAATAGGTGGTATGTTGAAGTGACAGCTCTCATTACATTCAAAGTTATTCTCCCTAGGATTATATTATACGTAGATGGACAGTCCACCACCAAAAAATCTGCCATTACGGTTACTTGCTTCGGACTGGTCATGGCTATCAACGGAAGTGTGACTACACCTAAAGGGAAAACCTTTTCTCCAGAAAAACTAACAAGGGGGGACTTTGTTGGCCTTAACCTTTCCTTGCCAATACACATCTTGTCAAATGCATTAATAAATAACAAGTCGACAGAACTACCATTGTCAATTAGTACACGGTGGATTGCGTAGTTGGCCACGACCATTGTCACACTACCAAAGGATCGTCATGTAGCTGCTGGATTCCCTTAGCATCTTCTTCCGAAAAGGTAATGTCCTAGCCCTCCACTCTAGGAGACTTCGCTGGGGGTTCATGAATTTCAACTTCATTGACTCCTGCCGAGCTCCGGACTCTCCTGACATGAGTTTTTCGTGCTGAGCTTGATTCTCCCCCACATACAAATCCTCCCATAATCACTTTTATTTCTCCCAACGGGCTGCCAGGAGGGTTGTTCTCTCTGTTCTTAGGGGTAGGTTGAGTGGCAACTTTTTCACGGTCCATAGCATATTTGTGCAACGGCCCCCGACGAATTAGGCTTTCTATCTGGTTCTTCAAGTCGAAGCAATCATCGGTATTATGCCCATGGTCTCTATGGAACCGACAATACTTGTCCCTAGATCTTCTTGTTAGATCTGACTTCAACTTGGGGGGCCATTTCAAGGAGTGGTCATCTTGGATCTGCAAGAGGATTTGGCTGATCGGGGTGTTCAAGGGAGTGAAGTTAATGTAGCTTTCTTGCCCCCTGGGTACTTTAGGGGGCCTATCATTGGTAGGCTTTCTGAACTTAGTGTCTTTCTCATCTTTGGAGCTAGCAGCTGGCCTTTTCTTGTCTTCTTTCTTGTCGTCGACTCCTTTGCCCTTTCTTGAATTCATGGCATCTTCAGCATTCATATGTTTCTGGGCCTTGATCAATAATTCTGCCATGCTATTTGGTGGGTCTTTTGACAAGGAAAATAGGAACTTGGAGGATTATAGACCTCCCATAAAGGTTGTAAGAGCAACTTTATCAACCACCTCATCGACCTACAACATCTCTGTATTAAACCAACCAATATAATCACGCAACGACTCCCTTTTGTCTTGCTTAACATTCAACAGATAAGTAACTGGCTTTCAATGTCTCCTCCCTGTAATAAAATGCCTTATGAACTGCTTACTGAGTTCATCAAAGTCCTTAATAGATCCTAGCTTCAATTTATTAAACCAAACCCGGGCCTTGATTGTCGTGGTGAAAGCCCTGCACATGATCTCATCCGGAATAGCCTGCAAGTTCATGAGGGACTTGAAAGTTTCTAAGTGGTCGAGGGGGTCGCGCGTTCGATCAAAACTATCAAGATGAGGCATCTTGAATTTTGTTGGTAATAGGAGGGCCATGATATGAGGACTAAAAGGTAAATTCGTCTTTTGAACCAAGTCATCAATTGTGGCGGAACCTTTTTCCTTTTAGGGCTTGGGCCATTCCTTCCACTTTTGATTTGAGATCCTGGATCTGCTGATCAATGTAAGTTGCTTCAATGCGTTCTCTGGCATCAGACATATCTCTGGAACGAGGTGTGGAAGTGCGCAGGTCTCTCTGTCGACCTCTCGCTGGACTATAGTCTACTCTGTCGCTGTCATCGTTACTTTCAGAGGGTACTACAGGGATGGCCAAGTGTTGCATGATTGCTGTGTTTTGCTGGACCAACTAATTCATACCTTGAGTAAGGTTCTGAACATGTTGTTCTAACGCGACAATCTTCCCATCGTTTAGAACCCGCCTAGAGGCGTTCCCTTGACGGGATGCCTGCTCGGACTGATCTTCTCTCGCGCGAGACTAACTAACGTGAGGTCTGTCATTCCTATGATGAGGTTGATTATCATCATGATGATGACCATCGTTATGACGCGACTGGTTCTCATCATCATGTGGTTGACGGCTACCGTCATCTCCATGTTGTGATTGATTTGCGCCTTGACGCTGTTGACGGTGGTTGCAATCACTATGCTGTGATTGATTTGCGTCTTGACGCTGTTGATGGTGGATGCTACCACCATGCTGTGATTGACTTCCGCTGTCAAGGCGCGAAGGGTGCTGGCTTCTTTCTCCGAGTTGGACTCCGAATCGCAACTGAACCATTGTTTTTAGGAAACTAATATTCGCGTTCCCACAGATGGCGCCAACTGATGATGCAAGATTCGGTCACGACCCAGAACGACGTCGTTACCTGCAGATAAGAGAAAGCGTCGTCGAAAAGGCACCGGTACGGTACCGGCCCAAGAGTCTCCGACGGTCAAGTTAGTATAAGACCAGAAAGATTAATGGACTCTTTTAGGGATATTGTTTGCGTACCTTTTGAATTGGCTGGTTACCCATTTTATAGAATAGATTATAGTATTTGATAAGGGAATTAATCTCCTTATTCTAGTACAATACGGATCTGAAGAACTTATCCTTATCCATATCACTTCGTAACTGTAGTTTATCTAACTCCTTGGCTTCCATGTCTGTTAGAACTTGTGTATTCGTGTTGGATTGTAGAGACCGTATCATCAGTTGCCCCCTATTCTCATGTTTAGATCTCAAACTAAGAGAATGTAAGGTGTTTGATTCCCTAGAAGATTAGTAGACAAAATATAATATATATATATATATATATATATATATATATATATATATATAATTTTATATATTTATATTATTGGGGCCTTCATGGCAAACAGAGGGAACCTCTCCGTCAAAGATTGCAATGGTCCATTTGTCATAAAGGTGCTAGAAACCTCCTTGCCAAAAAGGTGCAAGGGATCCCTTGTCAAAAAGGTACAAGGGACCCTTTGCCAAAAAGGTGCAAGGGATCCCTTGTCAAAAAGGTACAAGGGACCCTTTGCCAAAAAGGTGCAAGGGACTCCCTTGTCATAAAGGTACAAGGGACTCCTTTGCTAAAAAGGTGCAAGGGATCCTTGTCATAAAGGTACAAGGGACCCTTTGCCAAAAAGGTGCAAGGGACTCCCTTGTCATAAAGGTACAAGGGACCCTTTGCCAAAAAGGTGCAAGGGACCCCCTTGTCATAAAGGTGCAAAGAACTCCTTTGCCAAAAAGGTGCAAGGGACCCCCTTGTCATAAAGTTACAAAGGATTCCCTTTTCCTTTACAACGTAGAAACCGGCATAGACCTTGTGTTACGGCCACTTACTTGTAGTTATCAAGAGAAAAAGGTAGGGGACCCCTATTAAACAACTTAGGAGCCTCTGGTGTAGGCCTTGGACTGTTGCCACTTGTTCGTCTAGTAACGCGGGGACTCTCTGCAAGGGACTCCAATTGGCGGGCAACTAGAGGAGAGGGCCTCGCATTTTCAATTTCAAATTGCAAGTGTCCATTTTTTAACGGCTACTTTTATAACCGTTGTCGCAGTAGATTAAATTTGTCTCCGCCTATTTAAGTCGCAGTGAGTGCCTGAACATTTTAATTACCTTCTTCTACCTCCTTCCTCTCCTCTTACTTCTTTTTCTCCTTACCACTTGCACTCCTTTCCTTTTCCCATGGCTTCCTCAACCCAACCTCACGGGAAGGTCATTGAGCGTAATAATTCAGCCGATAAGGTGCTTCCCATTAAACCGCTACACGTAACTTCGTACTTAAACGCCAACCACCTTGGCCAACTGAAGCTGAAGTTTTCATTCCCGGAGTCTGTGGAGGTCCAATGTGTTTCTCCTCACGAAAGAGTATGTCATGATCCTCCGGAAGGTTATACACGTTTCTTTGAGACGGCTTTCGATGCTGGCTTACGGTTTCCCTTACCTAAATTTGTTAGGGAGCTACTCAGGTGCTTTAATCTAGCACCCTCCCAACTTTCTCCAAATGCTTGGAAAACAGTTGTGGGATACATGATTTTGTGGCATTTGTGCGGTAATACTCCTTTGACATTGAAGGAGTTTCTTTACTACTTTCAACCCAGGAAGAAAGCTGGTGATTGGCTCAACTTTGCCCACCCACCTGACACCTTGCTAGGAAAACTTCCTAGCTACCCCCGAAAATGGAGATTGGCTTTCTTCTTTGTGTCCGAAGATGGTTGGGAGTTCGATGTGGGTGCCAGCCCCGAGGACAAGAGCCTTTTTGTGCCCCGATCATGAAGTGAGCCGAATCTTGCTGGTAAAAAGTTTATTTTATTTACTCTACTTGGATGACTGCTTTGATTTAGTTAACACTTCTTACTTCAATAGATTTGACAATAGATCGTGACCTAACCGATGAAGAGCATGCTAATTTAGCAAGAGCCCGTGCGTACCCATTAAAAGTGTGGGCTGAGAGAGTGAATCCGCAGACCATTGCTTCATTTGAACTCAGCAATAGGGTTGTCGCAACACCCCTCACCATAGTTGAAGGTATTTTGAGTATATCTCTTGAGCCAAATTGTGCACTCCTTTTATTGTCTATATTGATTGTGTTAGCCCCCCTTGCAGCTGTACCACCGATATTCGATCATGATGTGATTGAACAGCTTCGCAATAATGATAACACATCTCCACCGGCCAGGAGGAGAAAAAGGAGTGGTTCAAATCAAGTAACTCATCCGCCTGCTGAAACTTCTTCGTTACAAGAGGCGTTACCTAACCTAAATCCATTTTTGACAACCTTTAACATTCCTACACAACCATTATTTCAGGACATGCTTAACAGTGAGAACCCTTTCAGCGGATCCGTTGAACCCTCGTTTACCCTATTGCTTCCCCAAGGAGAACCTCTCTGGGGTTGTTCTGGCCAACCTATAAAGTCCATTGCTTCATCCAAGTGCCAATCGGTCCTTCGTGATACTACCTTTGCTGCCAGCAGGATGGATAACTTTGTTCTAGTAGATGATGTTAATGATTTGGAATCAGCTTCATTTGAGCAAACCTTGGATGCCGGCCTTCACGATCTGGGTCGAGTGAGTGTCCCTCCTTTGTTTACCACAGTATTATTATTATTATTATTATTTAGCTCTCATTGCTACCTTTTGTTCATAGGTTGCCACATTCCTTACGAGTGTGTCGCACTGAGCCATAGCTTCCAAAATGCTGCTCAACAAAAAGGAGGAAGAGTTTAATTCCACATTATCTTTCTTTCGTGCGGCGCACGAATCAAGTCAAAGTGAGGTTGCGAGAGAAAAGGGGCGCCGATAGAAAGCAGAGGCGGCTGGAGCGACCCTTACCAAAGAACTAGCAGATGTGCGGGCCAGCTATAACGCGCGCATCGCGGACCTCAACGCCGGTTTTTGTACCAAGCTCGCCCTTGAAGGGCTATTTGCTATTGCTAAATTCAAAACCTCCCTAGAGTTTGAGTACCTGAAAGCAAAGAATTTCAAGGATGGCTTTGAGTCTTTTCGAGCTGACGCTCTTTTTGCCTATCCAAATGTAGATTTTGAAAGCTTTGAACCTTTTCCGGCTGATTCAGATGATGCCATGGATGCTGAGAAGGAAGAGGAAGACGACGAGGAATAGCTTCCTATTCCTCGTTTTATCTTTATGCAATTTCAATTCCCTTTACTATTGTAACGTTGAATATTGTCTTTTAGTCGTGAACCAAACTCCCATTATACGAGTAGTGGTATTGTATGAAGAACTCTATTATGATCTTGTATCACTTTGTGACAATGACTGTGGGTTTTATATAGCTAGGCCCTTTATAGTACGGAGCACTATTAGTCTCCCTTATAGTACGAAGATATTGATTGTGGAATTCATTCAGCCTGGGTCTTTTTAGTACGGGACCCTTATTTACCATCCCTTATAGTACGGGGACATTGATTACGAGATTAATTCAGCCCGGGTCCTTTTAGTATAGGACACTAACTTATCATCCCTTATAGTACGGGGACATTGATTACGGGATTAATTCAGCCCGGGTCTTTTTAGTACAGGACACTTACTTATCATCCCTTATAGTACGGGGATATTGAAAGTGTAAAGATA